TATCATGGGCCTGTATAAAAACGCCCATTATGATACCGATTATATTAACAATAATAATGAATGATTTACGCTTGTCTCTGTTTTAAAGTTCAGGACCGAAGTTAATTGCGGAAAAAAAGTGTTAATATATTCCGCGAATCTCTTTCCAAATACTAAGAAATATATTAATAGGCCTATCGTATCTAAAATGTGATGGACAATTGACGATCTGGTTACATAGTTTTTCATGATCTACTTACTTATATATTGATCAACTTAGATTGTCGGGAAAGTTTTTCATGTGGAAGTGGTGAGTGTATAGCATATACTCTACGGTGTGATGACAAAGTAGATTGTGCTGATGGAAGTGACGAAAAGTTTTGTGAGTATTAATAATCATTGCAGTAATCTATAAAACATTAACTGGCTTAGTGATACAGAAAATGAATATTCGTTGTTGTTCGAGGTAATTGTCCTATGAAACACGATGAGGCATATACTTGCCTTTCCGTTCTGTTTCCGAATGTATAATAACTAGTAAGGACCTGTATCTAGCTGCACTGCAGATTTTCTGCTGAGCCTCGCCTCTTGGGTTTTACTTGTTTACTTTTGTCCCAGAAACTATTCTTCACCTGGGAATAGAGTCCAAACATAATTGCTGAAAACTTAACGAATGTACACGGCGCAAATTTTAGCTAGTATGAAAAATGATTATATGTCCCCAAATGTACACCCCCCCCCCAAATGTTCCCCCCCCCCCCCCAAATCAAGTTCGATCCAGCAAACATACAGAGATACCTTTCTTGACATAGCTACACCTCGAACATCAACCAAATTTTCTGAAGGGAGAAACAACTGATAACCTCTTAAATTAAATTCAACAGACATAAGCTGCGTTCTGGTAAACTTAGGAAAATTTCTAAAGCTACAAAATCAAACTTATCTACTGCCAACCTCTGCTCCAACTCACTTTTCGTATTTAGTAATCTATCACAATTTGGATAAAGAAACTTAAAATTCTTCTCTATATTCATTCCATTTCCAACTCTCTAATTCAACTTTTAACTGATTAAACTTCTCTCTTTCCTTTTGTCCTATCATTACTAACTGCTACCTTCTTTTTTTATAGCCAAAAACTTCCCTTTTAAAATTCTCATCATTAAACACAATTTTAATGGCCGAATCTTATCTCCACGAACGCC